CAGCTAACCCGCAAGCCCCCTTACCCATTCTGAAAGGGAAGAATGGAGCTAGAAAAGAGTAAGACCAAAGCAGAACTAAAACATGTCTTATAGATTCCTGTCTGTGACTTTACGGCTTGCAGCCCGTTCAGCCTTTCTTGTGCTGGCTTCACCTGAAGCCTGTGCTTTCCTTGGTGAACATTGCATGTTCCTGGCATTTCCAAGTAAGTTTGATCTGCACTGAAGCCTTGATCTCTTTTCTTTAGGTGTCTGTTCTGCCCTCTCAGGGACATCTGGCAGGGACTCTGACCCTGTCGCACATTTTTGCCTTGCTTTCTAGACCTTCCTTTGAAATATGAATCAAAGCTTCTGTGAGTCCATAACTTTTTTTTTTTTTGTGGAACCGGGCATTGAACTCAGACCCTTACACTTGCCAAGGAAGCACTTATTCCACTGAGCCATCTCCCCAGCTCCCGTGAGTCCATAACTTTTGCATTCCATGTGTCTATAATAAGATTAGCTGCAGGTGGCTAATGTCAGGGTTTACTTCCAGCATGAACAGTAGCCACTCTGAGTGCTGGCTGGCTGAGCATAGTGAAATGAGTCCTGAGGAGCCAGTTCCCTAGGACTTGAGGGTGATAAGGATTGCCTGGACTCCACAGCCATTGCTGTGGGAGTGGTGTAGGTAGAGTCTTGGTCTAGAGAGTGGATGGAAACACTTAGTGTAGACCACACATTTGGAGCACTTGACAAGTGGAGATAACAGGAGGAAAAAATACATCAAAGAGACTTTGATATATGTATTTCTGTTATTCACATGTTATAAGAACTAACATAAAGCAAGAAAAGCTGTCCCTGAAGTCAGTTACAGTGAGAAAACTAATTTTTGCTAAGGATGTAGTTTCCTTTTTTAGAAATTAAAATAGGGGCCAGGGAGATGGCTCAGTGGAATAAGCGCTTGCCTGGCAAACACAAGGGCCTGAGTTCAATCTTTGGTTCTGAAAAAAAAAAAAAAAGAAATTAAAATATTTCAGATCCTAATCAGAAAATAAAACTTAAATACAAACCATCTACAGAAGAAAAACTAATGGAATTAAAGGCATGATTTTATTAGTTAGCTAAAGATTTCCTGTTTCTCAGTCCTGTCAGAAACCTCTACTTGACTTGCTACCTCTACATGTAGGTAAGCGTGTGATAGTCCTGTCATGTGTATACCAGTAATCTTTTTGTATTTTTGCAACAGGTTCCTAAAAAGCTTACTAATATTCTTTTAAGGAAGAAAAGTAGGTGAGTGAACTAGTCCAAAATGAATTTTTCTCTTTTATTTTCAGACTTTTAAGAAGAAGCCAGACTACTTCCCATTCTTTTTTAAGTGTATCCTGACAGCAGCGCTGGCTGACACTGACGGTGAATTTTCCCTCCATGAACAGACAGTCCTGCTGCTTTTTCTTGATCATTGCTTCAACAGTTTGGTAATTTTACTTTTATGTGTGGGAGAAATTTTCAAGTTTTTCAGTTATTTTAGATTGAGTTTAGATGAGATTCCTCTGTGGCCATCTCTTCTTGAATACTAGTGGAGGATAATGCTGTAAGCCTCACTCTAGCCACTTCTTAGGAAAGTCATTTTGTAAGATATTCACTGTTTTAATAGTTTTAGACTTGATCCCTCCTTTTTCCTATATAGACTCTTAAGAAAAACAAAAGAGTTGAAAGCACTAAAGAAAAGCACAGAAGCGAGCAGCAGTAGATCCTAGTGATTTTGACCTTTGACTAGTGAAGTCTGTGCCACAGTCTGCGCACCTGGGGCAGTTTCATTGCTGCTTCGTCATGCTTCATGCTCAGGCCAGCAGGACCGCAGAAGAGCTGTGTTCTCAGTTGAACGATTGAGGTCATAATGGATGATCTATGATAAAGTCTTAGATTGTATGTGACACACTTTCATCCTTCGTAAGATGATCTAAAGGCATGCCGTGTTTTTAGTATTTAATATTTCTTTCTTTTTTTTTTTCTGAACCAGGGATTGAACTCAGACCCTTGCGCTTGCCAGGGAAGCGCTTATTCCACTGAGCCACCTCCCCGGCCCCTAGTATTTAATATTTCATTTGAGTTTCTCTGCTGTGATTATCTGATGACTCATTTAAGGATTGAGTCCTTCAGAATTGATAATACACTTGTATGGAGTTCTCTCTTAAGTTTTTTTCTTTGCGGAACTGGGGATTGAACTCAGGCCCTTGCACTTGCCGGGGAAGCACTTACTCCACTGGGCCATCTCCCCAGCCCCTATCTTAAGTTTGGATGTTGATGGAAGTTTATTGCCTATTGCTATGTACTGCCTCACTTGCATCTTGTAAAGGCATAAAAAAATTTATACCCCTGTAGATACTGCTGTGACCTGTTTAACAGTTTGTTAAACTAAACAGAGCAAACAGAAATTGACCAAAAGTAAAATTTAATTAGTATAGCATTAGTAGTGTGGTTGTAGGTTTAATCAGTTTAAAGCCTAGCTCATTATAGGAATGTTTTATCTTTTTCAGTATGTTGTCATGTTCTTTTTTGAGGCAGTCATGTTTGTTTTCTAAAGTATCTCTGAACACTAAATAAATCAATACTGCTAAGCCACAGCTGTTAAGAGAAATAAATTGTTAAGTTCCTGTAAGCCTCTGGTTATAGCATTTCTGTTAAACTATTAGTATAGTACATTATTTTTTGTGTGTTTATGTTTAAAGAAATTTATTTGATATATTTATTTTATTTATTTTTTAATTTATTTTTTTGCGGAACTGGGGATTGAACTCAGGCCCTTGCACTTGCCAGGGAAGCGCTTATTCTACTGAGCTATCTCCCTGGTCCTGGTATATATATTCATATATATTTTGATTCATTAACCTTATCTCACCCCAAACACTTCTATTCCTGAATGTAAATTATCAAGCAGTGGTTTCTCAATAAGGTGCAGCAGAGTCTTAATGTCTCCTGATCTTCAGATAGCGGTAGTAGCACTTCAGTCTTGTTTGTGGGATCTACTTTAAACAGAGAAATTATCAGCGAAAAGAACAAAGATGCATGAAATGTATGAGGCATGTCACTTTTTTTTTTTTTTTTTTTTTTTTTTGCACAGAACTGGGGATTGAACTCAGGCCCTTGCGCTTGCCAGGGAAGTGCTTATGCTACTGAGCCATCTCCTGGCCCCATATCACTTTTTTGTATTATGACTGCTATAAGTGAGGTAGAGTCAGCTCAGCTTTAGCTGGTTCCCCAAGCTATCTGAATGACCTTGGAGAGCCATTTGGGGCTTATAAGTTACATTTTTGTGAGTAGGTGTATTCAAAGTATAAAATCTGCAAATAGCTAAGTGGCTTTCTTTTTTAACTATTTAATTTTTAAATAATAAATACCACCAGTTTGAAAGTATTGGTGACATGTTTTCCTCCTCAGACTTAATAGTGCAGTACATTACCTGTGTAAAGACTTTTGTAGGAGTGCTAGAATATTTATAAATTTGCTTTCTTTGTGCTTGAACAGGAAGTAGACTTGATACGAAGTCAAGTGCAGCAGCTTATCTCCCTCCCCATGTGGATGGGCTTACAGGCTGTAAGTATCTACTTTCAAAATGTCATGTGTATGTATAAGTAGAAGCTATGCTTTTAGATCATGTATTTTTAATATGGATATAAAGCATTAAGTAAAAATCTTTCCTGCTTAGAAAAGTTACCATAAGTGTAGTTTTAAAAGTTTTAATATTTTTATGTACATCCTAGTGTGTTTTACCTAATTTCTGTTTTTTAATTTGAAAAAAATTAGCACCTGTTGCATTTGTAGAATAAGGGGAATGATTTAGCTGTTTGTTTTTTTTTTTTTTTTTTTTTGTGAAACCAGGGATTGAACTCAGGCCCTTACACTTGCCAGGGAAGCACTTATTCCACTGAGCCATCTCCCCAGCCCCTGATTTAGCTGTTATCCTTATGTCTTTGGATAATACTAAATCAAACTTTATTTATTAAATTCCTTTTTTGGGGGGGCTGGTGAGATGGCTCAGTGGTCTGAAGCACCTACTTAGGACAAGCTAAGCAAAGCACAGGGACCGCAGTTCAATCCCCCAGCACCACTTGCCAGCCAGCCCCGCCCCCTGGTGGGCTGAGCTGGCCACACACACACTAAATAAATAAATAAATAAATAAACTAAATTCCTTTTTTAGAATGTATATGCAGTTGTAAAAGGTCTAAATAATTTTTATTAGTAGTAATTTTTATCATTTTCATCAAGTCTTTATTGGATAATATGTATGCATAACTAAATAGCATATTTTAGGAAATACAATTAAGACTACTGCCATCAGTCTGAGATGCAGAGGCAGGAGAATTATAGGTTGGGCCCCTGCCTGGCCAGTGTAGTGTTTTACCAACATCTTGCTCAGAATGGAAAGTAGAAGTAGGCTGGTGCTGCAGCTCATTTGGAAGGCTCTGGGTTCAATACCAGTATCAGTGAAGCAGTGTTCCTGCTGCTGCTGCTGCTACTACTACTACAAATGTTAAGATTATCAGAGTTCAGTGTAATATTTTTTTTTCAGAATTCTGTTTTCTACACCGTTGAGTGTTGACACACTCAAATATGTAGATTTACTCAGTGTGTCGGTGGGAGAAAAATATGACACATTCAAATAATATTAGTTAAAAAGTAATAGTTGCATTAAGAGACTATGGTAATGGTAGGGTGAAATTTCCTTAGGAACTATCCTGTGGCTAGTTCTTTTTTATATATTGTTTTGAGACTTACATTTTCAAACCTCATTGATTCTGCTTATCCATATTTAATGTTTATATTTTGCAGATTTAAATCCTTAATTTTAGAAATAAAAATTTGATTGATAATTGAGCTCAAAAATCTTGGTTATAAAAGGTCATTTCTTTTGACTGACTTTGCATCAATCAGTTGACTCCGAGCTGCACTCAGGCGGTACGCTTGTGTACATGCTGTTCTGCTGTGTGTTTCCCAGTCAGCTCTTCTCTTTTTTGGTACTGGGACTCAAGCTCATGCCCTCACACAGGCACTGTGCCGCTGAACTTGATCCCTGGCCTACAACCAGTCAGTTCTTGTATTGAATAAATTTGTTCAAATTGTCATTTTTATATTTTCTATGATTTTATTTATTTATTTATTTTGCGGAACCGGGCATTGAACTCAGACCCTTGTGCTTGCCAGGGAAGCGCTTATTCTACTGAGCCAATTCCTCGGCCCCTGTGCAAGAAATTTTTAAAAATATAATTTCTAATATTTTAGTTTTTCAGGTTAGTCCTGTTGCATGCATTGTTCTCTGTTACGTAATGTATGTATTAGAAAATCTTCTAGTAATCGAGCTAATCTTTATCCTTGTGCACATTGATGTTGTTGGTAATTTAAAATCACATCTCTTGTTCAGGCACGATTGGAATTAGAATTAAAAAAGACACCCAAGCTAAGGAAATTCTGGAACTTGATTAAAAAGAACGATGAAAAGATGGACCCAGAAGCCAGAGAACAGTATGTGGGCGCACTTACTCCCCTCCAGCTGCTGTGCCAGGCTATGGGGCTTGGATGGCTTCGTGATTCGTTGCTTCTTTTTATGTAGAGCTTAACCCAAATAAATTAATGATAAGTGCTCTTACTTAGATTGTTTTAGAAATATTTTTGTAGAAATCTAAAGGAGAAGCCACAACGTGACCATACTCTTCTTTTCCTTTTCTCCATACCAGTGATAAGTGCCACTGTTTTCTCCCCTCCTGCTTTTTGTAGTCTCTCTCCTGCATGGTTCTTTTTGCTCCAAGTCTTCAGACTATCAGGTCAACATTTTTTTTCTGACTCCTTCATGCTAAACAGTAACTTTTATACTCCCCACCCCCATCACTTATTCATTCAAAAACTTTATTTTGCCAGATACTGCTCTTGGCATTGGGATACAGCAAAAAACAAAAGTGATTCCTGCTTTTGTGGAGAATATTCTAGTTGGGAAAGATCGCAGTGAACAGATGAATTATGGAATATGTTAGGTGCTAATGATAACATATAAAACAAAACAACAATCACATATAGGGATTAAAGAAGCAGATCAGCTTGACTCTTAAAGCTATCAAATCCGTGTTCAGAATTTGCAGATCTAAGTTTTGTGTAGAAATTGATTCTTTCATCATGGATTTATTGGTACATTTATTATGTGCTTTATAAATGTTACCAGGGTATTTTAAAAAATATTGGATTGTTTTGGCCATGTTAATTTTTTTTTTTTTTTAATTCTTTTTGGTGAAACCGGAGATTGAACTCAGGCCCTTGCACTTGCCAGGGAAGCGCTTATTCCACTGAGCCATCTCCTTGGCCCCTCCATGTTAAATATTTTTATCAACACAAAATTTTACTGTGCACAATTTCAGGCATCACCTTTATTTCATGGTTAATTTCAATAGTTATATTTAGTTTTGCTTGATCACAGTCTGTGATACCTTTTATTTCATGGAATAAAGAACCATGTTTAGACACAGAGGTATGACTGCTGCTTTCAGAAATTTGTTTCCTTCTGAGCTGTCTCCCCAGCCCAAAGTTTTGTTTTGTTTTGTTTTGTTTTATGCACAGAATATATTTATTGAAAGAAAGAAAGCTCCTGTCTGAGAGAGGGACAGGAGGGGGGCCTGAGCGGGTAGTCCCCCCACCAAAGTTTTTTATTTATTATTATTTGTGTATGTGTGTGTCTGTGTCTGTGGTACTGAGGATGGAACTTGGGACCTTGTACTTGCCAGGCAAGAGCTTATCCTGCTGAGCTATCTTCCTAGCCCAGAAATTTGTTTACTTCTATCACTTTGAAACTGAGCTTTGGGCTGGTGAGATGGCTGGGCTGGTGAGATGGCTCAGTGGTCTAAAGCACCTACTTAGAACAAGCTTAACAAAAGCAAAGGGACCGCGGTTCAATCCCCCAGCACCACATGCCAGCCAGCCCTGCCCCCTGGTGGGCTGAGCTGGCCACACACACACACACACACACACACACACACACACACACAAATAAATAAAATTAAAAAAAAAAAAAAGAAACTGAGCTTTGCTCCAGTTTTTCCATCAGTAATCCTTTGTCTCCATTTTTAATCCCTTCTCCATTAGCTCCTGTTTTTCACCCAATGTGCGTGTGTGTGCACACATGCAGCGTGCATGCTTGCTCAGGACTTGTGGTGGGCCTGTGATGACAACCTTTGGTTCTGTCATACATTTAATTAACTTGAGATTAGTTTATAGTTCCTTTTTCTTTAAATCTTGTACCTTCCACTGAACTTTTGTTCCCACTTTCCACATCTACCTGAATTGTTCTTTTTGACCTTACCATCACCTCGTTTAATACTTTGTGATTTTTGTGTTTTATGTCATTTCCTTTGAATTCCATTTGTCCTGTTGATTATAATCTTGTTGTATATCCTTCCTCCTTTTAACAACTTTAGCTTTTTCTCCTTTTCAATTGTTTTTTTCTCTGTCTTCCCTGGATCCCAAGTTCAAGGTATTAGTGTAGTGCCAGGATTTATCTTTTATAGTCTCCTAGTTCTTTTCCTTAGTCCTCAGGGGTTTTTGAGAAAACTTGAAGTTGAGAAAAAATAAGTAACTTGCCTTAAAAGATTCACATGTATACATATGGCAGAATTCTAATTTGTACCTTATTTCTTTGTTTGCAGTTTTTTTCTTTGACAACTTTGTAAGTGAGAAATTTGTGGTAAGAACTTGTGATTTTAGAATTTTGTGATAAAGTTTTTACTTCACTTCTGCTGTGGAGAGTCTTGAAAGGAACTTATTGGTAGAGTGATATAATCAGGCTTAAATTTTGGAACAGTGTCTCTGGAGGGATAAGGTTTGAGGCAGGGACAGAGATAGGTGTAATACTTGGGCAAGAGATCAAGAGATTTTGAACACAGTGGTATTGGAAGCAAAGGGATAGTGATGGAGAATAGAACTATTCAGTCGATGTTGGTGAACTGTTGAAGTTGAGACTGACAAGTGGTTTTCACACTGGGCGATGGAGGGGACAGTGAGATACTCACCAAGATGGGCTTCAAGCCACCTGGGTAAAGAGGTTGCTTCAGTTTTGGCAGCCAGTTGGAGACTGAGGTCTTGAGAAATATGAGTGCTGCATTTGTAGGTGCATACGTAGTAATAGAGACCAGCGGATGGGTGGGATTTCTTTAATGAAGTCTAAAGCTTGCGCAGAGGATTGAGCACAAAAGGAAATGCAACCTGAAGTTAGGCTGGTGCATGCCCAAGGAAGAACTGCAAAGGTGCGCGTCAGCGAGATGTGTTTATGAGTGAGTGAGACCTGCTGTGCCTGCGGTAGCCCCATCTCTCCCTGAATTTCTAGTCTGTCATCTCTTCATGTCTTTCTGGCTAACCTCTTGTCTCCTGGATTGTACAAAAATTGCCATCTTTGTAGAATTTGCTTTTTTCAAAGAAACCTTGCTGTTATCTAATTGTAATTTAGTCCTAAATGTCTCTGTTCCTGACTTCATTTTCTTTCTTTCTTTCTTTCTTTCTTTCTTTCTTTCTTTCTTTCTTTCTTTCTTTCTTTCTTTCTTTCTTTCTTTCGGCACCAGGGATTGAACTCAGGTCCTTACACTTGCCAAGCAAGCACTTACTCTACTGAGTTATCTCCCCAGCCCCTGACTTCATTTTCTGTCCTTCAACTATACAACTCCATACTCTGTACTTCTGCTTGGAGGAGTGTCATGAATTCAAATTTAGCTTAACTGAATGTTATTGTTTTTTACTCCTAAACTTACCTTTCTGTGTGTGTATAATCAGCCAAACAGTCATGTAGAATTCACCCTTTGTCTTTCCCCTATTTTCTTCTGTTCTCATTGTTGTCACAGTTTAGGCCCTTGTAGCCTCTTTTCTGAACTACTACAGTAAATTCCTCTTTGGCTCTTGTAGCTTTTCCACAACACTTCGGTTTAAGTAGTCCTTGTCACAGTATGGTTATTTTGTCATATTCCTATTCAGAAGCTTTTAGTAGTTTTTTTTTTAAATCCCTGAAGGGTAGATTCTGAACTTTTTACGGTGGCTTTCAAAAGCCCTCAGAGGAGCCAGGTGTTGTGATGCTCACCTGCAATACCATCATTTGGCAGGCTGAGGCAGTAGGATCGCTGCAAGTTCAAGGACAGCCTGTGCGGTGGTGAGACTTTGTCTCAAAAACTAACAAAAGAAAAACAAGCCTCTAGCTATTTCTTGTGACCTTCAAATTGTTGAGTTAGTTTAGGAATTCTTTAAGATTTCTTCCCTAAATCTCTTCTACCCTGCTTCCACTTCCTTGACCACAGTTCTTTCTTCTGAACTCCTAGAACATAACACCTATTTCTAGAATTGCAATTTGTACAGTTGTTTGTAGAATAGATTCTAAAATCAGATTTAACTAGATTCCATATTGCCTTTTGTAGGTGAATTGGGCAAGTGTACTTCCCGTCTTTGCAGGGAACTACAGGTAAAAGCCAAGCGGTAGCTGCTGTGTCATAGGGCTGTAGGTGGTATTAGATGAACTCACTTCTTATGAATTGTTTATGCAGCGTAGATTGTGGCAGAATCCTCAGGTAATGTGGAGCAGTTTAATTCCTTGCTAGCTTGTGTTGCTCATTACCTTTATATTATAGATCTTAGCACTTCTAGTAGATTTTAATCATTCCTTTGTATTTCCAGCAGGAGTGTCATAATTGCCTGCAGTCATCCAATAAATGCTGTTTGTTGATTAATTAGCGTATTTTAAATTAGGACTGACTAGAAAATTGATTTTTAAACTAATCTTTATTTTTTATCCATTGTACTCGATTGTATTTAGTACTTTATTGCATAAAAGTATAAAGTTGCTACAGTATCTGAGAGAACTTGAGACGCTTGTTAGGTCAGCAGTGAGAGAATTTGTTTCTTCATATAGCACTGTATTTACAGAGGAGAAGCTGTGTGTTCAAATTATGTTCCCAGTGACAGAAGTAGAATGTTTGACTAGTGGAAGAAAGGCTTATTCAACATGCAAGATTTATTTCTGAAATACCAGTTTCTCATACATACTTGGGTCATATTCTTTGATCCTAGGGCCTATCAAGAGAGAAGATTTCTTTCACAACTCATCCAGAAGTTTATCTCTGTGCTGAAATCAGTCCCACTTTCTGGTAACTGTCCTTTTACTCGTTTGTGAATGTTTACATGTGATGCTATAGATACACATTTATATATATACTGTATACTTGTGTGTATATGGAATTCCACATATGGGTGGAATTTACTCATCTTTAGAAATATTTGAAAAGAATTTGAAATTACAGGAGATTATGTGTGATAGTTGTCAGATCAAGATAATGGTGGCTAGGGCCGGGGAGATAGCTCAGTAGAATAAGCGCTTGCCTGGCAAGTGCAGGGGCCTGAGTTCAATCCCCGGTTCTACCAAAAAACAAACAAACAAACAAACAAACAAAGATAATGGTGGCTGAGAATTATAAGTTAGGAAAAAGGGGACTTGGCAGTTTGAGAAAGATCAAAATGAAGGCACTTTTTGGGGGAAGGAAATGGAAGAATCAAGAGTGACCCCAGATGTTTTGTTTAAGTTGCTGAATGATTGGAATGATTTTGCATTGTATCAACAGAATGAACATCCTTTTTTTTTCTAGTGTATGCAGTCAAAAGATTAGGCCCCCTTGAAGGATTGTTTTCAAAACATCAGTATGGTTATTGAAATGTTAATTTAGTTGCCAAATAGTTTTAGTATTTGCTTACTAGGCCCAACTCTGGTACAGGTACTGTGGTAAACAGTGAACAAGTTTTCAGATGATAACCAGATATTATATAGAGATAAAAGAGAAAAATTATTTTGATTTTTTTTTTTTTTTTTTTTTTTTGGTGGAACCAGGGATTGAACTCAGGCCCTTGCGCTTGCCAGGGAAGCGCTTATTCCACTGAGCCATATCCCTGGCCCCTAGAGAAAAATTATTTGGAGATATAAGCTACAAAATAAAATGAGTCAAGTCTATTTATTGATGAAGTAATATGTACTATATAAAGATTCTGTACTATATTGGAACATATTCTTAGTATTATTAAATATACATGATGAATACATAGTGTGTGTACTGTATACTTATATACCAAGAGAGATTAACTGTATTTGGTTGTGTAGATCTTTGTAAGCATTTAATCAATGTATGTAGAATACTGTTAACTTAGGTATATGTGCTACATAAGATGTTATTTAGTATTTCTTTATATATTGTTTAATATTTAAGTATAATACAGTAGTTTTAATATTTGCTAAGTTAAATCATTTTTATGATTTTTTTTTTAAATCAGAGTACTGCTTAGTTTAAATTTAACAGAATTTCCTACTAATGCTAACTTTCCAAACTCAAAGTTTTAGCCAAAATTCAGTGACAAATAGATACTAGTGCTATAAATCAGCTGTACCCAATTTGGAGCTTAATACATGTGTCAGTATATTCAAAAGATTGTAATATGCTTATAGTCTCCATGACATAATATTTTCAGTCATTTTGTTAAGTGCCTTAAATTTGAAAAGAAAAAAATTGGGGTTCTTATCACAAATAGTAACCATAATATGTAGAACTACCAATGTCGCTAATAATCAGGGACATGGAAATTTTTTTTTTTTAATTTAAAATTTTTTTTTTAACATTTATTTAGTGTGTGTGTGTGGCCAGCTCAGCCCACCAGGGGGCGGGGCTGGCTGGCATGTGGTGCTGGGGGATCGAACCGCGGTCCCAGTGCTTTGCCAAGCTTGTTCCAAGTAGGTGCTTTAGACCACTGAGCCATCTCTCCAGCCCAGGGACGTGGAAATTGATAGCTCTAATTGTGTAAGAATGTTTGTGTAGGGTCGTGTAGGTTAAAAAAATAGCAGTAAACATAAGGCCTACAGTAATTGTAGCAGTGCATGACCAGCTATCTCTTGCTACTAGTATTTACATGGGAATACTTTTATTTATTTATTTATTTTTTTAGGGAAGGATCTACAGGGCTTTCAGAGTCTCACTACTAGATTGGACTCATAGTGATCTGCCTATTTACAGCCTCCCAAGAGCTGGGATTACAGGCGTGCACCACCATGCCCAGTCTCAATTGCCATCTCAGCGTGTCCCGGGGGTGGAATCGAACCCCCAGCCCCTGCACCTGCTTGCAGGCACTTTAATCTGCTGAGCTATTTGGCTCGCCCTGAGAATACATTTCTTAATCATGAGCTCTTGTCACGCGCGGCCTTGCCAGCAAGGAAGATGCGACCACTGGTTGTGTCTGCGCAGCTTTTATTGCCCTGTTACATCAGCCTTCTTTTCCCTCAAGGACCCTGCTCTTAGCTTATAAATCTCAGGGCTTCCAACCATGGGGCGCCACGTGTGTATCGTCCATTGGTCCAGGTACGCGGAAGCAATGCATTAGCCCAAGCCTTGGCCTTTTATGGAGTGGTTGATTACCAGGAGCGCTCACCCCCTGAGGTGGTGGAAGGCAGAAACCGGCGCCATCCTAGGGCGCGGCTACACGCAGCTCCCTACAAGCTCTGATCAAAATTTGTTAAAAGGAGCCAAGATGATGCTGGAAATATTGTATCAGTTCAAAAGGGACATGAAGATAGGTGGAATAGTTAAGCATTAGGCTAATTATTAAAAGGAGAAGGATTATTGTCTGATTTTATAGACTCATACAAACAACAAGTTTGTCAGTTTTTTTTTTTTTTTTTTTTGGTGGAACCAGGGATTGAACTCAGGCCCTTGCACTTGCCAGGCAAATGCTTTTTCTACTGAACCATCTCCCTGGCCCCTGTCAGTTGTTTTTTTTTTTAATTATTTATTTATTTTTATTTATTACATTTATTTATTGTATGTGTGTGTGGCCAGCTCAGCCCACCAGGGGCGGGGCTGGCTGGCATGTGGTGCTGGGGGATCGAACCGCGGTCCCTGTGCTTTGCCAAGCCTGTTTCAAGTAGGTGCTTTAGACCACTGAGCCATCTCTCCAGCCCCCTGTCAGTTGTTTTAAAAGAGATCTGTGTAGGATGGTTTGAAATGTTCAGGCTACCGTGAGAAGAAGGAAAAGTCCTTGCAGTACACTTAGGAGACAGATGATAAGTATGTGGTATCTGTGTCTAAAATCAGGACTTCGTTTCTATACTGAGTGCACCTGTCACCACCAGGGCAGAGTTATGCCCTGTGCTTTGTTTTTAAATTTTAAGCTATTGGTAGCATTCTTTTTCAAACTATAAATGATAAGCAGTGGAGTTTGCTGTTTTTTAAGTTTCAGATAGAGATGTCTTTTTTTTTTTTTTGACAATTTTCAAAATGAAATATAGCACCAAAGGACTAGCTTGAATGAATATAATTTAAAAATTGCTCCTTTAAGTTCTTTAGTTTAAGTAGTTCCGTGACATACCCTACATCAGAAAGCCTCGATTCTAGTCCTACATCTGCATTTCATTTTCTCTGGTCCTCAATTTCTCCCATGGATAATGGTTGTCTAGAATAGGTGTGTTTAAAGGCTTTTCAAGCTATTATGCTTTGAAAAATCTGGCTTATTAGGTGTCTGTTAACTAAAAAAGTTCCAGGAAAAATTCTAGACAACACTTTCATGTATTAATGACAAAAATGTTTGCATTTTCTTCACAAAAGCTTTCCATTTTTCCTGTATAGTGTAAATAAATAATTTTAAAAAGACATTTTTAGTCTGCCTTTTACACTTCTGGCACAGGTTACTCACTGCTGGAAATCTGACCAAGTGCAGCCGAGACCTCAAAATTATCGATATTTTAATTATAATAAGCTTGGCAGGATGGTTTTATCTGGTAAATGGAAGACTATTTCCAGATATTAGGGAAAAGCAAAACTTGAGCTTGAAAAGTATTTCATATCATAGGGTTTTAATATTTAAAAACAAAAATTAATGTTTTTTTTATTTTTATTTTTGCAGAACTGGGGATTGAACCTCAGGCCCTTGCGCTTGCCAGGCAAGCACTTATTCTACTGAGCTATCTCCCTAGCCCCCTATTTTCTCTTTGCTGTAAAGCTAGATTCAGTAGACATCAGCCCAGTATAGTGGTGACAAGCCTTGTAGTTTACAGTGGTAACAGCCAGCCAGCTGTGGCACATGTGAGCTGTGTGTACCAGCACGGGTCTGGTATCTGTGTATGTACATGTCTTTTTTTTGCGAAACCGGGGATTGAACTCAGGCCCTTGTGCTTGCCAAGGAAATGCTTATTCCACTGAGCCATCTCCCCAGCCCCTTTTATGTCTTTTTTTTGACAGTTATAAAGATGAAAGATAGCAACAGAGGGGTAGCTTGAATGCCTATAATTTGAAAAAATGTATATGTATTCTTGTGCATGTGAAAGAACTTTTAGAAGTTAAATATGTGATGATACCAAGGAAAGTGAAGGTCTTTAATCTCATTTTTCAAAAATTTATTTATTAAGCACAAACTTTTAAAAGTTAATAATCCAGAAATGTCTTTGCATACCTGAACTTTAAAATCTACTTTTAACCCAGGCCTGATTTTATTTTCTCTTCTTTGTAGAGCTAAATATTGATATTTTACTTCTTTTTTTTAAGTTTATTTATTTATTTGTTGTGTGTGTGTGTGCGTGTGTGTGGCCAGCTCAGGGGGCGGGGCTGGCTGGCATGTGGTGCTGGAGGATCGAACCGCGGTCCCTGTGCTTTGCTTGGCTTGTTCTAAGTAGGTGCTTTAGACCACTGAGCCATCTCACAGCCCTGATATTTTACTTCTTAAAAATACATGGGAGGAAAAAAAATACATGGGAAGGGGCGGGGAGATGGCTCAGTGGAATAAGTGTTTCCCTGGCAAGCGCAAGGGCCTGAGTTCAATCCCTGGTTCCGCAAAAAAAAGGGAGATTCATATTTTAAATCATACTCCAATTATGAAGAATAGAAAATAAGTGATTTTGTCTAAATTGCTATGTAACTGTGCGTTAAGAAATACCAAACCAAATGACCTAACGAAATTCTAACATGTTTCTGATGTCTAGAACCTGTCACTATGGACAAAGTTCATTACTGTGAGAGATTCATTGAACTTATGATTGACCTAGAGGTAAGAAATTATGGTAACTTGTTACATCATCAAGAGTAGGATTAAGCACTGGAATGTTTGCTACCTCATACTGGCAGTATTTTTTTTCTTTTTTCTATTTTTGCAGAACCAAGGATTGAACTCAGGCCCTTGCGCTTGCCAGGGAAGCATTTATTCTGCTGAGCCATCTCCCCGGCCCCAAATATTTAATTGTATGGTTTTTACTTTTTTTTTTTTTTTCCAGAACCAGAAATTGAACTCAGGCCCTTGTGCTTGCCAGGGAAGTATTTATTCCACTGAGCCATCTCCCCAGCCCCGGTTTTTACTATATTTATT